ACACCCACCCACCCACCCACCCACCCACCCACTTCTATAATATTACTTATAATATTGTACTTTTTATTTTATAAATTATGGAATTTTATGAAATTATAGAACATACCTGGTGAACAAATATTAGAATCTTGACAATTTTCAGCTAATTTCTGATGGACATGAGAATACTCTTTCATATGTACACTATCAGTACCAACAACCATCAATACAATCTGAAAAAATATAAATATTTGTAAAATTTAGTGCATAAATGTAAAATCAAATGTAATATTTAAATATTTTTCACAATTGTATTATAGTTTTATAAATTGTTTATTACTAACATTTTCTTCTCCTGCATTATCAGGAATATTATCGAGAGATGTTTTTTTTGTATTAGGTGTATCACTTAATCGTTCGGAATAACTATGATCGCCAAGAACCTTATTATCTATTTGTGAAATATTTTTTAATTCAGTGTCACACACTTCCTTATTTTCCGATTTCTGAAAACATTTCTGCTTCTCATTTTCTTTAATATTAATATCGTTCAAAAATATTTTACGTAAACAATTGGTGGGCTTTTCCAATATTATGTCTTTATTCTCCTTATTTAATGTTTCTTGTGGTTTCTTTATCTGTTGCATCCGACTTTTCTTATTTTGTAAATTAGTTTTGAGATTCTTATGATTTATACTTTTTGCTGTAAATGTATCATCTATAATAACATAAAAACAAGTCTTTTAATTATTTTAATATGTAAATACAATATAAATTTGTTTCACATAAGTCTTTCCAAGATTTTTTCCAGGATGAGCATTTACATGTCATTTATATATTAGATGTGGGAAAAAGTTCGTGGCGTTTTTCTCATTAGATGGCATTAAAAAAACGCTACGAACTTTTTCTCACACCTAATATTATCGTAAATTTAAAATTTAAAATAAATGTTAAACAATTGTAAACAATTTCATCAGAGATTTCTTTTATGTAATATTCATGACAAGTTGATGATATAAAGATATAATAGTAGTTGATTAGTACATACAAGTCTCTTTATCAGCTTTTAGCTGTTCTAAATGCTTCTCTAGGTGAATTTTTATGCATGCTCTCGCTTTTTCTTCACTAGCAAAACTAGTATATTTCTCATGGCAACCAGGCATTAATGCACAAGTGTAAGAATATTGTCTTTTGAGCTCATCGCTTGTAAAAACGGCAAATTGCTTAACAAGATGTGAAACAGGCATAGATGCGAGTTGAGAAACAGTAAAACACGATTCTTTTCGTTTCATACTCGTAGTTTTAGGTTTGAATTGCAACGTCAGCATCGAGTTAATATGTTTCTTTTCTGAGTGCAGCGTTTGAGATGCGACTTCTGCAAGTACTTCTAACAATGCCGATGGACTGTCCCTTCCTACAGTACCTATAACAATTTTTACAATTATTATTCTCAAATATATCTATATATTTATCTCATTAGACATATAATATTATCTTTTTATTAAAAAAGTTAAATTTCCTAAAAAAAAATAAATAATAAATCTTCAGAAAATTTTTATAAACTTTTATAAAACATTCATGACAGATAAATTACAATATCTTTTGCAATAACAGATTTTACTCCACGTATTCTGTATCAAAGGAAAAAAATATGTAAAATAAGTACATAAATTTTCACGATACAACATATACTATCATGAAGTTTTTGCATCATCAGTAATCAAAATAGATTATAAAATTCACACTTAAAGAAATATATATTTCAATTATAAAATACTACAATTATAAAATTCGTGCAATATTCGCGTCCGTGGATAATATTTATCTGAAATGAAGCATCGCTGGCGTTTACATACGTCGGAAAGAAATTGTTTTCATGTAATAGCAGACGCCATAAAGACGCCCAGCAGACGGTTTTTCAGTTTACTATCTATGGATCGCGTATGCGCGTTTTTTCCGATTAGCACACACGCGGATGTAATTCGGCGAGATACCGCGGAGACGAAGCACAAACGTACCGGGATTACCTCCGTTGTACAAATTTGATACATGCTGCGGATTTCTTTTGGTGTTCATGATGGCATTCACGTTTACGGTATATCTACATTCCTCAATTCCTCGTTCGCGAACAACAGGTTTTCCGTTTGTTGGCCAATCCCTCCCCCTTATGTCAATCGTCGACACTGCTACCAACGAGTGAAATCGAGAATTATCTAGAACACGGATTGTAGATAAATACACTAGACTGCTTAAGGGTCAATTCCCTAGTCGTATCAATAAAAAAAAAGTCTGTTCGTGTTGCACTTTAGACGAGCAACATGAACAGACTTTTAAAATCTTTGCGTTCTTTTTCTTATTTTCTCTTCTTTGTCTTTTTTCGCTTTCAATTTTACTATTTTTATTTATCTATTATATTTTTTTATTTATCTGTTATATTTTCTTTA